AGTCTGTGTGTACAGGGAACAAGAGTTATTCAATGGTAGTGGGTGTACACTGGTGAAGTCTGTGTGTACAGGGAACAAGGGTAATACAATGGTAGTGGGTGTACACTGATGAAGTCTGTGTGTGCAGGGACCAGTGTTTTGTAGCATGTGTTTATTGGTGTAGGCTAATAGTTAGTGTTAGTTGGTGCGGAGATGCAGGACTATTCTGTCGGATGCAGGAAGGGAAGACTGTGTGACATATCTGAGGATATGAAACAACTGACATAATGGCAGAGTCGATAGGTCATACTGACGCAATGACACCGTGTCATGACCCGCCATACTGAACTCCACATGTGAGTGTGTGAGTGACTCTCTCAAGTTCAGGCTGCTTATAGGTGCCTTTGTACTCATAAGGCGACACTGGTGTCGGGCAGAGTTCCACTTCTGTCTCACAATGAATTATCCACTATTGTCGTTAGGCTAATTGCATAACGCATCTGTTATTCTGATAGCGACTTATGTCTGACACACGAGCCGTCAGTCCTGGTAAGCCATTAAGTGTAACTGAACATGGCCGGAGAGGTCAAGCACGGCGATGGGAAAACAGTTGATATTAGGCATAATCAGAAACAAGTCATTTCATAAAAAGTAACAGTTCCAAATATGAACTTCCTAATAAAGACACCACCCACACAGCAGCAGCAGCAGCAGCAACAACAACAACAATATGTCTCACAGACTAAACAATCTCACACTAAACTATCACTTATAGTATGACCAGAAATTATTGAGAATTTTAGGAGTATGTTTAATTAGATTTCTAGTATAAACAACCTTGACCAGCTATCAAGTGCTTGGTTTCATTCAAGAGAGACAACTCCGTTAATCCTTTTTCATTAGTTTGTGAAGAGTTATCCCCTTTTGTTTACTTGCTAGCAGACGACATTTTCAGTGATCCTCAGTATGGATGATTTAGAGAAGAGGAAGTTGATTTTAGAGTATTATAACAAGGACATCAGATCAGCTAAAGTAATTTCAAGTAGAACAGGCATCCCTTTGTCCACTGTTTATCGTGTTTTGAAAAATATTGCAAATGGATATGGCATTGAGCACCAGGGAGGGGCAGGTAGGCCCAGAAAATTGACTGTCGGTGACAGGAGGCGGCTTGGTAACGTGTTTCTAAAAAAAAACGAAGGAGTTTAGAAAACTTAAGGCTGGATATGATTGATAGAGGAACTGTGGCTGTCTGTAAGGTGACAATTAGAACTGAGCTGCATGCAATGGGTTGGAAGATAAGTCGAGGAATTCCATCACCGATCATGAAACCTGAACAAAAGGAGTGAAGGTTGAACTGGTGCTTACAGCATAGACATTTTAACTGGGACAATGTGAGGTTCACAGATGAAAGTTCTGTGTGGCTGTTTCCTAATACACTGAAATTTTGGACCAAACAAACTGAAAACATGACAAATATTGCTGAAATGAAAGGAGAGGTGGTCCGATATTGGCACAGCATGGACCACGACTTTCTAACTTCTTTGATCAGAAGTATGCCCCGCCGCATTGAAGCCTGCATTGCTGCCCATGGTGACTTGACAAAATACTAACTGTTCACCTGTCTTTGAATCTGGAGTTATGTTCTGCTAATATTCACATTTAGTATGTGAGTAATGAGTTAAAAAAATATAAAAAATTACAATCTTAAATTCTCAATAATTTCTGGTTGTACTGTACACGCACTAAACGATCTCTTTCGCGCGCACGCATACGCACGCACGCACGCACACACACACACACTCAAAACACACTCAAAACACACACACCTCTCTCTATTTTGGTAAATCTCAGTAATTCGTAAGTGGGCGTGGCCTATTTCTTTTACGGTTTATAGAAAAGTTTTCGAAAGAAGTTAACAGATGTGACTAACAAGACAGATCCCACAGGACCATTATCAAAAGTCATGATTAATTTCATTGTAACCATTTGCATTGTATTCTTCTGAAAATGCGACTTGTTTAGAAGCATCTGGTGATCGCTACACTCTTAACATTTCCTACTAAACTCTACTCATGCACGTTCTAAACTCTCATTCTTGTTGATATATTAATTCTCTGCCAGTATATCATATTGCATGCGCATAAATAACGTCACTTGTTAGCCTGATCAGCCCCACGTTACAAGCCAATTAACATCTGTCGACAATGTAACATCGAGAAATATACAGCGGTCACGAGGGCGTCTACAGTTGAGACCTGCTGCATGGAGGCAGCTTCCCGCGACCTAGGGGAGGATCAACTTGTTATATGTGTATGTTTATGAAGTCGGATAATCATACCATTAGTTATAGGTCGTAATCCAAGTCCAGATGATTTAACACCATACGGACCCACACCAACTGAATTAAAAGGAAAATCTTTCTTCAAAATCATATTTTCAAAACAAAATAATACATTTATAGTCACGAACTAAAATGGAGAATTATGTTTAACAAGATGTCAGTGAATGTTTACTTTCAAATTTAAAAGCATAGAATATGGAAATATACTCATGGAAACGAATGAAGGAACACATGAAAGTACAAGTTTTACTTTATTTATTTCCAGACTTTCACTCACAGTGCAATACACACCTTGTGAAGAAACCTGGAAAAGAATATAGGAAAACTCGTACTTTCATGTGTTCCCTTATACGTTTCCATGAGTATAGGTGTGTAATTTACTGTTCAGGCTGTTCCGTTCGCTGTGGACAGGACGCGGACGCTCAATCGACTAAGACGCCACATGATTTTCACAGGCATTATCCGATACTCCTTGTTCGAATCCGATATGATAATCTAACTGTAATTCTTTGTTTCATGGCAGGATACCTGTGTCATGGTTTTCAACCAAGTAGATATCTTGCTTCGCCTTGGCTTTCCTCCGACAATGATCGCTCTTGTCGTACTGTAGCCGAAATACTTGTCAGCTCACCCCAAACCAAATCGTTGTGTGTGGGGTATACTACATGCTAGGTGGTCATTGCAAACATAAGATATTCATTGTTTTAGGATATAGACAAGGGAGCCATGTGGTAACATGTGTTTCTTGAATAGTTTGAATAATGACTTTCCCCATCGGCCTCCTGTGGATCTATAGAATACCAGTTTTCGGAAACAACTGAATACTTCTGGCAGTGGACGAACGAAGCAAGCGGAAACGGGCCATATTCCTGTACTGTTCACAAATTTCAGAATACTGATATTTCACAGGAGCAAGTTTAGTACTTTAAGTTTTATTTGTCCTTTAATATATTTTAAACCATCATTTGATAGAACTCTGGAGATATCAATAAACTAGGTCACGGTTTTGAATACAATATTTCACTGTCGTATGTAAAATACAGATGTGGTCGCGATCCACGTCATAAATTTAATGTGTTTTACACAATAATACATCTACACACACATATAGTTTAGTCCAAATGCATGTTATAGCAAACTAAACTTAGCGGTTCCTTGTGAGGTCCGGTTCGTGATAACTGTGGGGTACTGCACATGTATTTGGTAACGAAAGTAGTTCCGACGAGCACGTGTTTTGGTATTACCACTGTGTATTAACTGCTAAAATGTCAGTGGCATTTTCAACAGGCGAGTAATAAAACAAATGTAAACACAAACTGACGCTTCAAGACAACCTAATTTACAATCGTCACTCTCGAAACATCACCTCCCATACTTGAAACTGTGTATCAATGTTTTGGTTTTGTGTGTAGTCATATCCATGATTGTCCTACAAGACGACCAAGTGGGTGACTTTGTAACCTAACTGAATGGGATTATGCTCCTTGTATTGATCACCGCTGTGTCTATAGTTTATCGTCATTGATGGAACACTGGTGACTATGGCGTGACAAGGAGTCAGTGTTGCGGAGACTACTACAGCCTTCACCTCACGTCTCTACATAGGCCTGTCCAGTTCTTACAGTAAAACATTGATATTTTTGTTAAAATCAAATGATTAAGCCCAGCTAGACTCATCTACTTTAAATAATTTGTTCTCCCCACTTTTAGCTGGCAAAACGTCTATATTTCATTAAAATAACACACCGACGGAGGAAGTGTTTCATTAACTTTTCTGAAGTAACATGGTCCCAGACTTCAGTTTTTTGTCACTTGAATCGTTATACGAAGATCTAACATCAAAATGATAATGCGCTTTGGATGCTTACATTTATTGTTATTTCAACCGGGTAAATCAGTGGAAGGGAAATGGTCAGTTGACCGTTATTGACCGAGATTAGATCATCGCTATACCCAAAGTTTAATTTAACTTGCCCAAATTCCCCAGTAATGACTTTGCCAATCTAGTCCGGACAGAAATTTGTTATTCGTTTGTATAGAGCAACAAGTCCACTGGGCCTAATGCCTTCTTCTCGACTGAATGTCTTAGCTACACCTGTTACATTGATGTTATAGATAAGAAAGTCAAGCATTTCACATATTGTTTTCTCAAACTTCAGATGACATTTGCTGTCATTTCTGACAAACTGCTTGAACCTCTGAATATAGTAACTATGTCAATGATCAAGCAAAGTTTCCCTTAAGTTGTTAACTGGAAAATAGTGTTAAAAGATTAGACATTTTGACAGAACTGAATTCAGTTCTTTTCTGAGATTGCACAAAGTAAATCCTTTGAGTTTTGAAGAATCCACCATGAAATAATTCCATTCCCCCTAAATAGTTTATGTGTATGTAGAAAAGAAAAAACCTCATCTACCATTGAGCACGTGGTGATGTGCGCCCAGTGTGTGATGCAGCCCGGGGCGGCTTTGTATTACATGTACACATATGTACAGAAATATATAATGGACAGACTAGAACCCACGTCTGTCTGCTCAATATGCATTTGTATCAGCATGAAATAGGTGCCTGTTCTATACTGAAAGACGAAGGGTTCTATTGCACAATAGATAAATAACAACTCTGAGCAGTTTCAGTAGAAAGCTTGTGCATCAGTGCGGACACTGACTTGGAAGAGTGATTTCCTTGTGACCAGAGCCTACATGAGTGTGTCAGTGTGTGGAAGGGGTTTTGGTATGGCGTTGTCAGAGTAAGTCATGTTACAAGTGGGGAATAAATCATCCCCGTGACCACTTGGTATCTGAGAGCTGGGAGATACCATGTAGCAGGCAGGTGATTGGACAGCCCATGCGCTGGCTTGAAATCTGTACTGCAGTCGCAAACGTCATGTCTCATAATAAAGAAGTTGCTGGTATTAAAGTAGCTGTCACACCGGGCCAGACGTGGTTAGCGCCTTGTCATCGCAGTGAGCAGTCGCACATCCAGCACCCTGTGCCACCTTCCCTCCAGCCAAAAGTAGGATGTCGCTGTTGCTGCTCTTCCTTGTTCTCCCTACGGCATCGTCGACGGCGGTCGTTGAGGGTTTTTCACCCCTGATGAACGCAGACACGCTCATCTCGAAATACTCGTCCAGCAGCTCCTTAACTCAGGACGAGTTCCACGCTCTATTCAGTAGTCTTAAGTTGCATGTAAAGCAGAATTTTGGACAGGATGGGATCTTGGGATCGGAGACTGATGCTGTAAATGATGATGCTTGGTGCCAAACAGTTCTGAACAACACTGCGAATACCACCTGCGGCCAGGTAAGTCAAGCACCGTCTACATCTGTATTCACTGGCAATAGTGGGAACGCGTGATATTTAAATACTATAGATTAATAATGTTCACTACGTGGTTTCCCGAAGCATTCAAAACCTAACATACGAAGTAATCAGACGTCTTTGTTTATGAAACAGTATGTGTGTTTTCTGCATGAAAGAAATGAAAATTCGTGAACGTGACAATGCGGCATGTAAGGTATCGCAATTCGTTGTGCAGATCTGCGACCCTTGGACTAGCCAGTATCCCGTGTATTTGATTCCGACCCCTGACTGGCTCCTATGGTTGATTCCTATGTACTCGTTGCATCAAATTGGTAAACGTGTAAGGACAGCATCACTTCGGATTTTTTCACACACTAAACTGATGTAACTGAAATATTGTTAGAAGCGATGTTAAAGTTACTAATCTACTTGTATACATTTATTGTTTGGATCAGATATCTTACTTTGGAATGGCTTCAATGGTTCATATGCCGCAAATGCTATAAGTTATCTGAAATAAATAACTCTCGCATTAATTTGCTTGTGTTTCGTATTCCAGACACACAAGTTCACATAACCTATAACTGTTGTATACTTGCAAACGTCAACATAGTAATGTAAAACATATTAAAATTGTAACGTAGTAATATTTCTAACTGGGGGCAAGATGGACTATATTTCTAAAGCTCTTTGCCCGAAAAAGCACTATGAACAATACAGATTATATTTGTATTGTATTTTCTCGAATACCATGCAGTAGTCTGTAGACATGATTGGTATGAGGGTATATATGTCTGTGTAACAACATGGCAAACAAAAGTATTATCCTATAGATGCGTGCTTGTGTAACAGAGTACTCATGATACATCAATTCCATCCTCGCGTTTACCATGACCTTTGGGTACTCACGGTGTCATGAGCTAGAGACGCGTCCTATGAGTGACATTTGTAATGTTGCATTGTTGGTATGACCTCCAGGATGACCTAACTTGCAGGTTCACTCATGATTAGGCTTTTGAATATTCAGGACAATAGATATGCACACATGCTCTCAGATGTCATACCTGACACAATTCCTGTATAGCCTTGTAACCCTCTCTCATACCCTATTTCTAAACATGGAGACAACGTTCAGATGATTTCTCACCCGTATTTGTCTTTCCCTTTTTTAATTTTATTTATATTTTATTTTATTATGCATAAACGTCTTAACTCGTCTTAACTGGAATGATTCTCTGAAGCCAGACAAGTGTTTTGTCTTACTCTTGTGGCTACATTGGTTGAACTACGTGTATGTTTCACCGACAGCTCTTCCTCCTTTACAAAATGTAACAGACCTTCCATAAATATTTAAAATGGTAAAAGCACGGTTTCTGTTATGCGGAAATAGGCTTGATCTTGTTGTGGTCACCCAAAGTTTTCAAGATATATTTCAACTTCTTGTGTCTTAGATTCAAACACACATTAAAATTGTATCTCTTCGATTCCAGTACATATTAAATTGCATCTCTTAGATTCTAATACATATTAAAATGTAACCAATATATTCTACTGAACATTACAATGAATCACGAAGACCCCAACACACATTTCAAAGTATCTCTCATATACTAAATATTTCACACTTTAAAATATTACCTTGAAGGTTCAGGTTAGAACTGGGGCGGTGGGTAGCCCAGTGGTTAAAGCGTTCGCTCGTCACGCCGAAGACCCAGGTTCGATTCCCCAAGTGGGTACAATGTGTGAAGCCCATTTCTGGTGTCCTCCGCCTTGATATTGCTGAAACATTGCTAAAAGCGGCGTAAAGCCTCACTCACTCACTCAGGTTAGAACTGGTCTCAGGCAACCCATGCATTTTAGTAAGAGGCGACTAACGGGACCGGGTTGTCAGACTTGGTGATGTGATAGATGCACGCCATCTTGCCCCAGTTGCATAGATTGATTTTCAGGATGCCAATCTCTACATTGTCTGGTCCAGGGTCGGGGCGGTGGGGTTACCCATCGGTTAAAGCATTCGCTCGTCACGCCGAAGACCCGGGTTCGATTCCCCACATGGGCACAATGTGTGAAGCCCACCTGTGGTGTCCCCGCCGTGATATTGCTGGAATATTGCTAAAACGGCGTAAAACCATGCTCACTCACTCACTGGTCCAGGGTCGCGTATTACTGACCAACGTCCTATAGCTGGATAACTGCTGATGGTGGCGTTGAACAATACGTGGCCACGTTACAATACTTCTCTTATATTACCCCACATAATAAAATGTATCTGTTAGGTTCCAATACACATCCAAATTTTGATTTTTTTTCTCGTGGTAGACAAGTAGTTTGTTTTGCAAGCATGAGTTTGAGTTCCTGGTTCCTTGCTTATAACAAAGTGTAACCTCTTCATGACAAGTACGAAAACGTGAACGTTCAGGGCCCATCTCACCTGCCAAGCCTGAGTTACAGACACGTGCACAACGAGGGCACATGTGACGTCATAGCTACTGTTATTTAATAGATGGGTATTACCGTAACGCAATAAAACACAGATTAATGTCATCCTGAGCAGGAAGAAGACCTCACAGACCCGTCTAGCTTGGCATTATTTCACAATAACCCAGACTTTACCATTTATGTCTAGTGAGAACAATATACACTTCAAATTGTACATTTAGGAGTCGGAACATTTTTTGCATACATTAATTCAGCTATTAAATATGATGTGCCACTTTTCTCTCACTAAACCTTATTCAGTATTCACTTCATTTAGCGTTATAGTTGCTACTGGCTTACTGTATTGATCGCTAACTTACAATGAAATAAAAGTAACGTTTCATGCTTAAACATTAAGTGGAAGTGTATTAGACTAGTACGACATGGTTCTTACATTTTTTGTAAATCATGCATAGTGTGACAACTGACAAACAGAACCGGTATAAAATATTTATATGAGCAGTAGAATGAACACCGATGTTTCACCGGGACATGGTGGGCTAGCCTTTCAATGTTGACAACCAATACAGTTTCCCAGGATCCCTTCTTGATTGTAATAAAAACTTCGAAATTTTAGATATTATTTCGTTTTTCAATTCCTCGATAATTTGTGTTTTTTCTCGTTACTTAGATACAATTTTCGTAATTTCGATTATTTTGTCGTGATTTCAAGTTTCTTTCAATATTTTTAAAATCTCGAATTATAGAATATACTTGATCTAGCGAGACGCTAAAGTTACAGATAATTGGAATAATGAGAATTTCCGATTTGAAATCTTCAATGCTACAATGATGCACCAGGACGCGAACAAACACGTCATGGAAATGAAACAAGACGTGTTGAACGTATGTTCTACTGTCCATCATTTGTCATCAAGTCATCAAGTCTTTGAATGGCATTTACAGGCTATACGGATATGGTTGAACATTTTTATGTCAAAATTCTTTATTGTGGGGAACATCCGATTTAGGACCAATCATATACTCCGAAACATTGTGTCCATAAGTTGACATCCATAAATTCTGAATTCCTGATAAGTGCCATATTTGCATACATTCGTGTCATTTCGATTCCGATATAAGAACACAGAAAAACATTCGACCGGAGTACACCAAGTAATAATGCTAATATAATTTAAGCTAAGAACGACAAATTGAGACAACAAGGATTTTAGATGTTAGATCAATGTAGAATGTACTGAACCCCATGAAACAAGGTGGGTCTCCTAGAGGCCCTACTCAACTGTGATGTTCATAAAGTAACACTGGAGTCATCTGTTCTGAAATATAGGCGAAGTGCGCCCGCAGTGAAGATGTATTCAACGCATACGCTGTGAATGCCAGCATCAACTCGTCCTCTCTGTTACACGCGCTTCCTGCTATTGTCATTGCCCTAGAAGAGGACCACTGCCGGGCCCAACAGCATGCCGACACAGAAAAAGATGAAGGACCTCGGAAACCTACAGACGCAGAAGGTACTGAATGGGGTTGTTCTTTGACGTGGAGGTTGTAACTCTGTGTCTCAACTTTGATGTTACTTGTGTCCACGTACCGTAACAAGGGATAACATGGTTGTATCTTCTGTGAGTCTCTCGAATAAGGGGATAACTATCTTGGGGTTGTGCCTACTTCTCTGTCTCATCTCTGCTGCTATTTATGTCCACGTAACATGGGGATACCTACCTTGGGGTTGTACCTACTACTGTGTCTCATCACTGATGTTTTTTGTAACCACGAATAAGGGGACAACTATGTTTGGGGTGTTCTGCCTACTGTGTCTCATCTCTGATGTTAGTTGCCCCCTCATTCGTGGACAACTATCTTGGCGGTGTTCTGCCTACTGTGTCTCACCTCCGATGTTAGTTGTGTCCACGAATAAGGGGACAACTATGTTTGGGGTGTTCTGCCTACTCTGTCACCACCCCTGATGTGAGTTGTGTCCACGAATAAGGGGACAACTATGTTTGGGGTGTTCTGCCTACTGTGTCCCATCTCTGATGTTAGTTGTGTCCACGAATAAGGGGATAACTATGGGACACTGTGTCTCATCTCTGATGTGAGTTGTGTCCACGAATAAAGGGATAACTATGTTTGGGGTGTTCTGCCTACTGTGTCCCATCTCTGATGTAGCTAGTTTGTGTCCACGAATAAGACGGTGACGAATAAGAGGATAACTATGTTTGGGGTGTTCTGCCTACTGTGTCCCATCTCTGATGTTAGTTGTGTCCACGAATAAGGGGACAACTATGTTTGGGGTGTTCTGCCTACTGTGTCCCATCTCTGATGTTAGTTGTGTCCACGAATAAGGGGACAACTATGTTTGGGGTGTTCTGCCTACTGTGTCTCACCCCTGATGTGATTTGTGTCCACGAATAAGAGGGACAACTATGTTTGGGGTGTTCTGCCTACTGTGTCCCATCTCTGATGTGAGTTGTGTCCACGAATAAGAGGATAACTATGTTTGGGGTGTTCTGCCTACTGTGTCTCACCTCTGATGTGAGTTGTGTCCACGAATAAGAGGATAACTATGTTTGGGGTGTTCTGCCTACTGTGTCTCATCTCTGATGTTAGTTGTGTCCACGAATAAGAGGGATAACTATGTTTGGGGTGTTCTGCCTACTGTGTCTCACCCCTGATGTGAGTTGTGTCCACGAATAAGGGATAACTATGTTTGGGGTGTTCTGCCTACTGTGTGTCCCATCTCTGATGTTAGTTGTGTCCACGAATAAGAGGACAACTATGTTTGGGGTGTTGTGCCTACTGTGTCTCCCATCTCTGATGTTAGTTGTGTCCACGAATAAGGGGATAACTATGTTTGGGGTGTTCTGCCTACTGTGTCCCATCTCTGATGTTAGTTGTGTCCACGAATAAGGGGATAACTATGTTTGGGGTGTTCTGCCTACTGTGTCCCATCTCTGATGTTAGTTGTGTCCACGAATAAGGGGACAACTATGTTTGGGGTGTTGTGCCTACTGTGTCTCATCTCTGATGTCATTTGCTTCCCCTCACAGCATGGGGTTACGGCTCGGCGTAGTGCTCACTGTGTGTCTCATCTCCAACCTCGGGGCTTTCCTCACGCCCTTGATGAACTCCTCCTTCTTCCAGAAACTGCTGATGTTTCTTGTGGCCGTTGCGATAGGCACACAGGCTGGAGCCGGCATAGTTGTACTTATACCGGAGGTAGGTCTTCCCGAGGTGCATAAAACGACGAGAAATTTAGAACCACCAAGTACCGAAAATGTGATAAATACCATTCGTCCAGGGTGTAGTGTTCACCCACAGAATGTGAAATTCTAAAGTTATTGTCACTCTAAGATAATGTGGTATACTGTTGTGTGGTATACTGTTGTGTGGTATACTGTTGTGTGGTATACTGTTGTGTGGTATACTGTTGTGTGGTATACTGTTGTGTGGTATACTGTTGTGTGGTATGTTACAGTCCATGCACCTGATGTACATCGAGGAGACCAAAGACACGTACCTGTGGAAAGCCTGCTCTGTTCTTGGAGGGATCGTCTTTGTACTACTGCTTGAGCGAATCCTGAAGATAGCATTTCACCAAATAAAGGTAGGAAGACCAACACCAACAGATCATGCATGGTGTATAACATAAAGGTAAAAATTCTTAAAATTTCAAAAAGCGTGAGAGCAAACATTTTAATAATTGACCCTGCCGAATACGTGAACAATATTTAATGTAACATAAATACAAATCCCTGACTTCCTCTGATGGATTCACATTGCATTCATCAGTCAGCTAAAGAGAGGACCGTGGCGGAGATCTCAGTAGAGGTTGGGAGCACTGTCACCATGAGCACGACCTCGTCGGCAAGCGAGGACACTGACTCCAACAACAGCGACCTGCCTGTTGCTGTGACCACTACCGTGATTGGGAACGGGGCAAGCAACGGCAACGCACACACACACACACCAGCATTAACGGACGGACATCAGGAAGACCAGTGATGTTGAAGCAGACGCCGGCGGGAAAGTCAAGCAGCAGATAGCTACCGTGGCTTGGATGGTCCTTCTTGGGGATGCTATACACAAATTAGTGGATGGTTTATCTGTCGGCGCAGCTTTCACAGAAAACATCACGACAGGTCTCACTTTAGCCATCTCCATACTCTGTGAAGAAATACCCCATGAGCTAGGTAGGTTCTTATATGTTCTATATGACATGCTGTTCTTCATCAGAAATTCCCAATATCAGGATGTCTACTGTCACAAATATCAGGGAGTGGGTCTCAGTTGTCCGAGGCGGCGGCCCAGAGAGAGTCCAAAGCATGTAATCTTTAATCATTGGTTTGATCCCCGGTTTACATTGATCATGTTGCTGGGTTTGTCAGAACCACCCTGTGCTCGCGGGTATACATTTAAGAATTGCATTACTTCTGGCATTTACATTAAGCTGACACATCGTGATAGGACTGAGATAATCTTTAACATGGACTTGAACCTACTTCTCCCACATTTACTGTTGTAGCTGGATGGTGTTGAGCATGTAGACACCGGTGCATCAAAACACATTCATCGACAAGATTGTATAGATTCTTTATTTGCTTGGCAGATATTGTCCAATACGGGACTACAGGTATCCTTGATCGTATGGCTTGCGACCTAATGTTTTAAGTGGTTTGTTGAGGTTTCCTACCCGATTTCATGCAATGAAAGAGTCTCTCATTATTTCAGATTGAAAGCTATTCATTCCTCCAGTGTTCCAAACCTGTAATTTCAACAAATATCTACCTATGTGCCTAGTCACGTACACTACCGATCTAACATGCACTTTATACTGGCGGCAGGTGATGTTTCCATCCTGCTTCACTCGGGGATGACGATGAAGCAAGCTTTAACCTACAACACATTGTCAGCCGCCATGGGCATTCCAGGAGTCATAGTGGGCATCTTTCTAGGCGAGACGACGTCTGCAAACCAGTGGATATTTGCAATAGCAGGAGGCATATTTATTTATGTGCCCCTCGCTGACATGGTACGAGCGTGTGCTATCTATGTATTTATATTCGTAACTACTCGCCTCTTTCCGTGACCTACAAGAACACTCGTACGTGAATAGTACGCCATTATTGCCAAGAACCGTGGCAAACCAATCAAATCGAGTGTAGTAAAATGTGAAATGAGTCAAATAGTTTCTTTGCGATTATCGATTTTCATTATTATTTCCGTGATTAACAATTACCTTGTTACTGATATTTGTTAACACTTAAGAAACCTACTTAAAGTGACTTTCGTGTTGTATTATAATATTTCTTGGAGTAGCCATGTTTGGGCTATCTTTCTTTGGAAATAGTCCTAGACTATTTTCATCTCCGTGCCCGTTTGCGCTTAAACAAGGCCCAGTCGTGAACATGGCCGAGAGGTTACGAGTCGCCATCCGGCTTGCCTGAATGACACGAGTAGTTACGAATGATGTATTTAGTTCACAATAGCCATTTGTAAAATATATCAACGCTTTGTATCATTGAAATTCATTTAGAAATCAGGTATAAGCACTTTGATTGTGTTCCACGAATAGTGACGATATCTTTTCTCCTTCACAGATTCCGGAAATGGGACACGCTGTTGACAAGGCATTGAAAGAGGAGACAGGGCCATCTTTTATCGATACTGCAGCTTCTTGGTTTGTGTTTAGGCTTTTGGTATAATCATCCTTGTGGCTGCATATGCAGGAGAAATCGAACTGTGATCTTAAGTTGACTACAAACTGTCTTCCAGCGGTTGTCTTGTGGAGTTGGACATTGGTCTGAATACAAACTATATACCATTCTTCTTATTCAGAGACAATGCAGTTACGACCATTCAGTTAAACCCCTCCACCATATTTCACTTACGAAGCAATGCAATAGGAGGTAAACAATGATCCCTCTATGTACAGTATCTGCCTAAGTGTATGTCATTATAAAACAAATACATGTAAAGAACAACATAGGGGAGCATACGTCACAACAAATACCGGAGGTACGGGAATAGGACACTAATAGTATTGGGTAATTGGGCACAGCCGTACTGACAATACTCCGTATGAATTTTACACAAACGACGCTGACGCTGGATTCTATACGTCATACGAGGAAGTCAGTTGCGTGAATGGCGACCGTAAAACCACACGGCCAACGCTTGATAAGGGTCACATGTTAGTTGCATGGGTCTCTCTGATCTGACTATATGTTAGATGAGTCTTTGACAAGGAAGTGTTTGAGTTACAAATACACTTCATACAGGGTCCCCGCCAACGCTCCTCCTTTCGCAGCTGTTTCCTGGATATAGCTGTACATACCCGGATATACCTTTGAAGCGCACCCCACAGATAACTGTGCACCCGTAAACAGATGTATGAACTGTGAACTCAAGGTCAAATCTGATCTTTCTTCTTCTAAGACAATGCATACCATGGTGCAGATTTACAGGTTGTTTGTCTTTTTGCTCTGTGATAATGGATAATAGTATCTTGTATGTATTTTAGGTGTTGTGTGAAAACAATAAACTATATTATATAACACGTTCGTGTCAGTATTCCTTACAGTCAGATACCACGCCCGTCTTGACGTTGTTGATGTTGATGCTGATGCTGATGCTGTTAACGTTGTTCACATACTTCAAGTTGCAATTTCACCACCAGCAAGAAAACCAACGTGCCCTGTAACACTGACCCTAGTACCACCAGAACCAATCAACATGCTAGTACCCTGTAACACTGACCCTAGTACCAGCAGAACCAATCAGCATGCCCTGTAACACTGACCCTAGTACCAGCAGAACCAATCAACGTGCCCTGTAACACTGACCCTAATACCAGCAGAAACAATCAACATGCCCTGTAACACTGACCCTAGTACCACCAGAACCAATCAACATGTCCTGTAACACTGACCCTAATACCAGCAGAACCAATCAGCATGCCCTGTAACACTGGACCCTAGTACCAGCAGAACCAATCAACGTGCCCTGTAACACTGACCCTAATACCAGCTGAACCAATCAGCATGCCCTGTAACACTGACCCTAGTACCACCAGAACCAATCAACGTGCTGTAAATACCTGACCCTAGTTCACCAGAACCCAATCCTGTAACACTGACCCTAATACCAGCAGAACCAATCAACATGCTCTGTAACACCTGGAACCAATCAACATGCCCTAGTACCACCAGAACCAATCAACATGCCCTGTAACTTGTAACATTGACCCTGCCCTGTAACCTGAGCAGAAACAATCAACATGCTCTGTAACACTGACCCTAATACCAGCAGAACCAATCAACATGGCCTGTAACACTGACCCTAATACCAGCAGAACCAATCAACATGCCCTGTAACACTGGACAGAACCTAATGCTTGTAGACCTAATACCAGCAGAACCAATCAACATGCTCTGTAACACTGACCCTAGTTACCAGCAGAACCAATCAACATGCTCTGTAACAGCACTGACCCTGTAATACCAGCAGCTGAACCAATCAACATGCTCTGTAACACTGACCCAAGTACCAGCTGAACCAATCAACATGCTCTGTAACACTGACCTAATACCAGCAGAACCAATCAACATGCCCCTGTAACACTGACCCTAGTACCAGCAGAACCAATCAACATGCTCTGTAACACTGACCCTAATACCAGCAGAACCAATCAACATGCCCTGTAACACTGACCCTAATACCAGCTGAACCAATCAACATGCTCTGCCAGCAACCCTAGTACCAGCCAGAACCAATGACATGCCCTGTAAATACCAGCAGAACCAATCAACATGCTCTGTAACACTGTAACAGCTGGACCCTGAGTACCAGCTGAACCAATCAACATGCTCTGTAACACTGACCCTAATACCAGCAGAACCAATCAACATGTTCATGCCCTGTAACACTGGACCCTAATACCAGCAGAATCAACATGCCTCTGTAACGCTACCCTATCAACATGCCCTGTAACACTGACCCTAGTACCAGCTGAACCAATCAACATGCCCTGTAACACTGACCCTAATGCCAGCAGAACCAATCAACATGCCCTGTAACACTGACCCTATCTGTACCAGCTGAACCAATCAACATGCCCTGTAACACTGACCCAAATACCAGCAGAACCAATCAACATGCCCTGTAACACTGACCCTAGTACCAGCTGAACCAATCAACATGCTCCTGTAGCACTGACCCTAATACCAGCAGAACCAATCAACATGCTCTCTGTAACACTGACCCTGATACCAGCTGAACCAATCAAACACTTGCAACACTGATCCTAAAACCATCTGGGCGAGTCAAGATGTCCTTTGTCGATGACCCGAATTCCAGCAGATCCAATCAAGATACACTGCAACGCTGACCCATTACCAGTAAATCAACTATAACCATGCCATCTGTGGCAGTAGAAATCAATAAAAGATACCATGCATCCCTGCCCCCAATTCCAGTAACCTCAGCACAAGTTCAATATGAACACTAGTCAAAACCTCTTAACCATGACCAGCGTATGTTGATACATGTTGTACGAACATGACTCTTAGGTAAAGCTGAAATGTTTGGCATGTGTAATACATTAACTATTGAATACATACGACAGTAAGGACATGACTGGCTGTACAAAGCAATATTTATATATTTAATCGAGTGAGTGTATGCCAGAGATGACCCTTCATGGCAAATCTCAGAGAAACCGTGTTACTCCGGATTATACTGCTGTATTGTCAGTTTCCAAGGTTTATACAATGGACAATCTTTCTATTCTGAAACGCTGCCCGCATACTGGCCTAGAATTCACCAGAGTACAGGCTGATGTTGGCATGGCAATACAGAGTCTCTTGTTCTGTATATTCTGTCCACTAGAGGAGACAGCTGTGACAGCTGTTAAACTGTCATCTGCGTCATCTGCCGAGCTACAACCGGATACAACGGTGACAGACGCTTGCTGGTTAGACTGTGTGCCTCATAGCTGTTCACGAAGTCACGGCATGTATCTTGTTCTGTCACGTGTACTCACAGCAAGCCCAAACTCATCATGCTGAAACACCGACCAAAATATATAACTCTTAATACTTTCACTTTGATTAAATGTCAGACGACAGACGACATCGAACTCCTCCTCTGATCTTTGTACACTCATGGTCATTTAACAAAAGGTAAATATTTGCATTTACCCTTTTCCCCAATCCGTTAAAATTTGATAACACGGTCCACTGATATTTTTTTTTAAAAGCAGCCCAAGTAAAAGCGTTTAATTGATAATTTGGGAACTTTCAGACTTTCGCCGGGGATCCAACCGACATAGGGATTTAGCCTCCTATGGAGACTGCACACTGACAGATAGAATATCTCTGTATACATAGGGATAAGTGGTCCATATTCAGTGTGTTATTCTACTGAACTTGCGTGTGAAAGCCGATTCTTCCAGATAGAAAAAACAGCAAAACATTATATTATCTTTAGCAGGGCTGCGTGCTCATAATATGCTATATTATAGAGTATTTGTTTATGTGCATGTTGTTTAACATGCATTGTTCCTGTATGTAGTTTGTAAATTGAAAGACCATATAGTTAGACCACAATTGCCTTTAGGTCACAATCGCCTCAGACCACAATCGCCTTAATCCACAATCGCCATTAACAACACAATCGTCTTAGACCACAATCGCCATAGACCACATTCGCCCCTAGACCACAACCGCCATAGACCACACTCGCCCCCTAGACCACAATCGCTATAGACCACAATCGCCTCAGACCACAACCGCCATAGACCACAATCGCCCCCTAGACCACAATCGCCTTAGACCACAATCTCCCCTAGACCACAATCGCCCCTGACCACAACTGCAATAGACCACAATCGCGCCATAGACCACACTCGCCCCTAGACCACAATCGCCTTAGACCACAATCGCCCCTAGACCACAATCACCATAGAGCACAATCGCCAAAGACCACAATCGTTATAGACTACACTCGCGCCATAGACCACAATCGCCCCCTAGACCACAATCGCCATAGACCACAATCGTCCCTAGACCACAATCGCCCCCTAGACCACAACCACCATAGAGCAACACATCGACATAAACCACAATCGACTACCTTGACTACCCATCATAGCTCTGAAACGTGCATCGGGCCATTACGTAAATAAAATCCACGAGTAAGAAATTCGTCACAGATTCATTTACATGTGAAAAACGGAGTACTTCGTGAAAGTGTTTTAAGTGTTAAAAGCAATTTTTTACGCTCAAACATCGTAAATGTTACAGCTGAGCCACCCCGCAGCATCCTGACCTACATAAGATCAGTGAGAGAGAAATCAATTACAAGAGCAAAACATTCGACCACGACCTTCAGCTGTTCGTCCAGTTATACTGTCCCATCATCAGTACGCTTAGCATGGTCAACACAACATCACTGCCCACTGTAAAGCATCACTGCCCATGGCATGGTCCCTTTCGTGGTCATGGCAGTGTGACAGGTCAAGGGACGCGTTGACCGTCCCCACAACCTTCCGTCACACCCATGGACGCCAAATATATGTACAGCAGTACAATCCCTCGATCCATGTCCAGTACGTGTCTGGTGTCCATCGAACATGTGCGTATATAACATGTCAATTTCGAAAGCAACTAGATACGTCCGTCCATCTCGACAGGCCTTGGTCAGG